GGACCAAGCAAGTTTAAGAGTGGTTATGTTAAGTCATAATAAGTACCCTTCATATGTTCTACATTACCTGATGGCAGTATTTCAATTGGCTTTCTAACTGGGCAATTCATACCACGGTATCTGTAGAATTAGCCTCAGAAGACCAAAGTAAGCAGCGCTGCCCACAGCATGATCATGTTCCGATGCTTGCAGTAGTGGCCACGGTCAGAGAGCTCAAGTCTTCTTCCGCAGCCATTGTTTTCTTTGGCCTGTTATTCACACAGGCATTTTCTATCATTCATTCAGTCAACAAACTCATGCTGAGAAGGTACGATGTGTAAGACCCGAAATATCTGTTGTGCTTTCTCAGCCTAACAGAGCTCTGCTGGGAAAACCATCTTGACCCTGGGACGTTCACGTCTCTCTCTGCTGTCTGTCCCACAGTGCCGCCCTTCCAAAGGCAGAAAGCGGGGTTTCTGTTGGTGCGTGGACAAGTACGGGCAGCCTCTGCCAGGCTACGATGCCAAGGGGAAGGAGGAGGTGCAGTGCTACAGCATGCAGAGCCAGTAGACGCTGCTGAAGTAAGCCTCGGGGTGCTGGCCTCAGGGGCTCCTTCTGCTGGGAATGGGTGCGGTGGGAGGGAGAATCCAGGGGCTGGGACTGGCCACTTCCCCAGACTCGCTGACCCGGGAGGTGAGAGAGGAATCACACAGGAGAGACCCCTGGGAAAGGCTTAGGGAGACGGAGGTCCCACCAGCCCAGCCCAGCCAATGCAGGGAAGAAGGGAGGGACAAGGGTGGTCTCAGAGACACTCTGCTCTGTTTTTAAGAACTTCCATACACGCACAATGTGAAGATTGTCAGAGCTAATAAGCTTTTTCCATGTACGTCTGGTGATTGATTTGTCTTCACAGGGAAACTTTTCATCCATGAGAACTTGTGAAAGACACGTGTTTCTAACTTAAAGATGTGGCTACTTTTTTTTTTACTTTCTGTAAAATATATTAGGAATATGCTGTTAGTCTCTGGTTGACAGAATTTTAATAAAGTTTATTTAAATCTAATATGAAAATGAAATTATAAGACATCATTTTGAAAAATGTTATTACTCTTTTTTTCTTTTAATACATGAGGGAGTTATTGGGAAAAAGAAGAATGAATACAGATTTTTCATTTTCTCAAGATAAATTAAACAGAAGAAATTTTTATTTTTAGTTATAAGATCGTTTTTTCTTGCAGGTTGGAAAAAAATAATTGCAATTTTGGGGTAATTCTTTTTGACAACGAATACTGTGGATGTCCTAAAGAGTGTTCTTTTCTTTGTTAAAAAGAAATGTAGGCTAAGACCCCAACCCACCACACACAGGCTCAACACTGTCCACCTGGGGGCCATGCCTGGGTACCAGGGCGGGAGTCGAGCCCTTTTGAGTTTGAGCGGGGGGTTATCTCAATATGTTTCTTTCTTTCTGTTTTAGTTCACGTGGAGCTCAAATGCGCCTTATTTTGCACAAAAGACTGCCAAGGACATGATCAGCAGCTGGCTGCAGCCTCGATCTATATTTCTTTTTGTGGTGAACTGATTTTTTTTAAAAAACCAAAGTTTAGAAAGAGATTTTTGAAATGCGTATGGGTTCCTTCAAATGGTTAACTTGAGCATCTTTCCATTTCCCAGTAGTCAGTGAAAAGCAGTTTGAATTTTCATGTCAATTCCTATAAAATACTCACAACTTGGAGCACGGCGCCATGGACTTCATCCCCTTGTGGAGTCCTCCCGAGATGGCTGATCCAGTGACTTGTGACACAGGCAGCTGTGTTGTTTGCATAGAGTTCACGCTTCACCCACATTTTTCTGTAAAATGAGCACAGGCCTTCTGAAGAACAGGAAAACCCTTAAACGCCCATCGTCCAGACATCCTGAGCACCTCCTGGAGGTCCCAGCCTTCTGTGGCGCCATCTTTAAAGCAAGGGCCTGGGTCCCTCAACCAAGAAGATTGTTTCCATCTTCAAGTGATCTGTACTGCATGGGGACTGTTGGACAGAGCAAGGTGGAGTAGTATTACTTGTAAAAAAAAATAAAAAATAACAATGACCAAGAATGTTCTAGAGCACTCTGGGAATCTGGAAAGGCAGGTATTTCTGATCCTCCTTTGTCAGGCAGCTTCCCAAAAATGTGGCCCAGTCGAAGGCCCAAGTGGCCTTTGCTGTGGTGTCCCACAGGGCAGGAGGGGCAGGGGACCATGAGAGACAGCCTTTGCATTCAGAGGCATTACAAATAATGGCATGGTTTGTCTGACGACTGCAGAAAACAGCGTTTTCTGGTTCAACAACTCAAGACAAAGTTTATTGTTGAGGATAAACTCTTTAAGGGCAACAGTTTGTTCTCATCTCTCACCTTTTGTCCTCCTAGGCGCAATGTAAAAAAGAATAATAATATCTAAATAGGAAAGATGAATGGCTTTTGGGGGAGCCCATCAAGGACACTGGGAACACATAGAGAATTGCCGGTGTTTGTTGAACTTGGAGTTGTTCTCATACTTTTCTTTGTAATTCACACATATATGCAGAGAAGATACGTTCTTAATGGATTGTAACATTGTATACAACATAGCCCAAATATAGTAGGATCTATACTAGATAATCCTAGATGAAATGTTAGAGATGTAGATGATATAACTACGGCCTCAACCAGGGAAAGGAGCTCGTGCCCAGAGGCTGGGCTGCTCTCCCGGAGGCCAAATCCAAGGAGGTCTGGTGACAGGCACGGGGAGACTCTGCCCTGCCCTCCCGCAGCCCGGGGTATGAACGCACGCTGCACAGAGCTCTCCTTGAGAACGCAAAGGGGTCTCAAGACATTCTGCCTTCCTATTAGCTTTTTCTTTATTTTTTTAATTAAGTTTTTGGGGGAAAAAGTATTTTTGAAAAGTTTGTCTTGCAATGTATTTATAAATAGTAAATAAAGTTTTTACCATAAAAAGTAATCTTTTTCCCCTGTGTATTGACTGCCTCCAGGTTTTGAGTCACTAATGAAATAACCCCGAAAGGGTAGACTACTCCCTCCATACTAGAAAACTTCATAAATATAAATATGTTTTCCAGCTTCCATCTCTAGCAAAAGAACCCAAGCAAGATAGTTTGTGGCCATTGTTGGCATGGCGTGCTGAGTCACTAATGAAATAACCCCGAAAGGGTAGACTACTCCCTCCATACTAGAAAACTTCATAAATATAAATATGTTTTCCTGCTTCCATCTCTAGCAAAAGAACCCAAGCAAGATAGTTTGTGGCCATTGTTGGCATGGCGTGGTGGCACTGGCACGTCTGCAGGAATGCTCAGTTCTGGAGGCTGTGCTGTCAGCTCTGTTCCCATCATGGAGTGAGGGCAGGCCTGAGCAGCCAGCAGATGCATCCCCATGGCTGTCTGGTCCTTGCATCTTTTGGGGTTACGTCCCGCTTTGTCCTATCTAATGCCAGTCAGAGAGCCTTCCACAGCCAAGCTGGGCAAGGGAGGGAGTGGACGCTCAGTGATTCAGCCCCAGGTCCTTTCCCTGGTGCCTCTCTGCTGCCTCTCTGCTTGCAGAAGGGAAGTGGACAAAGGCAGGAGGAAGAGAGAGACCCCAGGAGGTGCTGGGTAGGGTGCAGGGATCTCAGTCCCCACTCCGCAGTCTTGAAGTGATTGTCACTAGTCAGAGCAATTTCAGGCAAAGTGCCAAGCCCGTGACTTCAGGGCCTCTAGGAACCACCCATTCAGATTATATCCGATCTGTTGATAAAACATCTAGAATGGGTTCCCTATTACAGACAGGTGTGTGATGAGCAACAAGTTGGTGCTGGGAGTGTTCAGAGGACTGGGGTGTGGGGTGTGTCATCAGGCTGACCATGTGAGAAGCCAGGAAAATGAGAGGGCAGCCCCCTCGGAGTGCTGTGCTTGCAAGGCTGTGAGGAGGGGGGAGATGGTGAACAGAGGGAGCCCATTGGGGGTGGGGGGAGGCAGGTGCAAATGGGTCAGGGTGCCAGGGCAGGGTAGGGGAGCACTTCTGCAGCCAGGCCACTGTCTGGGGATCCAGGACAGGAGCTGGCAGGCCCTTGGGAGCCACTGCAGGGCTATGAGCTGCACAATGGGGCTTGCTCGATAAGCCCACTGAGTTTGCCTCCCTGGAAGCCACCAGCACAAGTGTCCTCTTTGTCCTCTTCTTTCCTCTAACCTCTGCCACTTGCCACACTTGGGATGTGTTTCAACTTGACTGGGCACAGGGTGCCCAGATGAAACATTATTTTTGGCTGTATCTGTATTTCCAGTTGAGATTAGCATTTGAGTCAGGGGGCTCAGCAAAGTAGATCGCCCTCCCTGATGTGGTTGGGCATCACCCAATCCCTGGAGGGTCTGAACTGAATGAAAGGCAGAGGAGGAAGGACTTTACGCCTTTTATCCTGCCTGCCTGGGAGAGCTCATCCTCTCTGGTCCTTGGATTAAGATTTGAACCATGAGACCCCACGTCTCAGGCTGGACTCAGACTAAATTACACCACCAGCTTTCCTGGTTCCCCAACATGCAGATGGCAGGACTTCTCAGCCTCTTTAATGGTGAGAGACAATTCTTCATAATAAATCTCCTTTTGATGGGTGATCAGATGGATGGATGGGTGGATTTAACCTGCTGGTTGTTTTTCTGGAGAACCCTGACTAATACAACACCTTGGATCACCTCTTCCTTCTAAATGCTCTCCTGCCACACCCCCTAAGTACCGTGAAGTCGTGCCCACCTGCTTCTCCTCTTGCTTCTCCAGTTCCTCTATCTCCCTCCCTTGGCCTCCCAGCTAGATCCTTGGAGCTCCTTCTGCCCCTCTGCCTTCTCTCCCAGTCAGCATCTGCCTGCTCAGACTTTAGCTTCCACCAACTCCTAATGCCATATGTACCCACCCACCACGTGCACACACACACACACACACACACACACACACAGAAATGAGCACACCAGGGCAGGGCGATCATCCCCTCCAGAGTCAGGGTGATGCAGGTGCTACAACAACAGCATCCTAAGATTCACCTATCAAATCGACGCACTTTAGGAAAAATAATCACCGGTGTCAGTGAGGGTGTGGCGATGGGATTCCAGGCTCTCTGCTGTGGCAGCCTGTCCTGGGGACATCTCTCATCTGGTCCTCGAACCAGTCATCCTGCTGCAGAAATGAATCCCAAAGGCGCCGTCAGAGGTGTGCACAGAGTTACGTACAAGGCACCTTAAACTGAAATGCTTGTTAGGAATTTTGTGCCAGCACTGTAATGTTTTTAAGCTGGAGTTAGTGGTATGGAAAAACACCTGTGGTGG